GCCAGTTCCATAGAGCCTGCAAGCTCTTTCCGTGTCTTATCCGTCAGTCCGTGGGACTCTCCGACTAGGCGATCTCGTATACCGCGCAAGGAGGCCACGTTCTGCTCCTGCGCGTCAAGTTCCGTCTGCGCTGCCGCTTGCTCGGCAGAAGTAATGGAAAGTCGGTCCTGAAGCTCATCAACCGTCTCAGCTTCGGCATCACTAAACAGCTGCGCGAGGTGACGAGTCTGCACATCAATCTTCAGATCAAGGTCAGTGTTTTGAGACTCGATCGCTGTGACGACTATGGGTAGCCTCGCAGCGGCAGCGGCGATATGTCGGCCGAACACGGGATCAATTGTTGCCAGATAAGCACCAGTTGAGCGGGTCGAGTCGCTGGCAACACTATCGTTGGTCCCATTCGTCTTCTCTCGTACTGGGGCTGGAGCTAACACGGGTATCGAAACCAGAGGTGAAGAAGACGGCACAGTTCCGGACTCACGACGGCGGACCGGGGGTTTGGCGAACATTGGAGATGATGAGACGGCCGTGAGGCTGGGTCTGGCACTTGAGAGACGTGGAGGGATTACGGCACCTGGGGTGCGACCTGCTCTGTCAATGCGCTGGCGCTTGTTGCGACCGCTGGGCGTCTCTTCCTCGATGGCGTCCCTACTGCTGCTGTTTCGACTGCGACGGCCGGGTCTTCTCGGCGGCTCAAGGATCTCGTCCAGGTGCTCGATGCTCATCGAGACTTCGTCTTCGTCCTCAGCGCCGGCTTGCTCGCGGAGAATCGCAGACTGGCTGCGCACGTTGCGCTCGGCGCTGGAACGCTGGCTGAGGGTTCTCGGGATGAGATGCTTGGCTTCATCTGACTCTTGCAACGCCACAGCCATGACTGAGGGCGGTGTTTGTGGCTTGCTGAGCGGTAATGTGCTGGCGCGTTGAGAGTATGGCTGTCGTTGAATGGAGGAGAAGGCAAGGGCCTCAAATTCCAACTCGGCGTCACTGGCGTCGTCGTCGTCGTTGCGACCGAGAGAGAGGAGGCTCCTACCGCGTGGCCTTTCATTCAGTCCACCGAGGTATGAGCTCATGTCGTGAGCGGCAGGTCTGGGTGAGGTGTTGCGAGCAATCAACGGATGCCTGAGAGGGGGTGTAGCTCGAGCAGTGAGATCTAGCGAAGATGGTTTTCGTAAAAAAAAAAATTGACTTGAAGCACAATACGATAGAGATGTTCAGAAGCGCCTATGTCCGGTTCGCTTAGTCTTGGTGATTGGGGTCGAGGCGATCATGAGGGTGGCCGTTTGACGACCTCGTCAGGCACGTTCTGCTCGCCGTCGGATGAAGATTCATGGCCTAAAATTGCAGGACTGTAGCTGACTCAGCAGATACACGCGTCGACCAGGCAGTTTACGCACCACACCGCGAACTTTCGCGTATCCCTGTCACCAACACTTCTGTCGTCCGTACCTAGCAAGCATGAGCAACAAGGCATGACGCATGATAGAATGTGTTTAGTCCTGACTATCGAATATCTCGCAAGCTGGCGTCTGAGTATGGCGCATC